CCTGAGCCAGCAGATGCCTTGTTCGCCTAATGCCTTGAGCATCTCATGGCGGATTTCATCAATTTCAGCAGCCTTTCCCTTTTCAAGCTTTTCACAGCTTGTGTAATCTCATCTACAGAGATAGTAATTTTCATACCATTCTGCTCAACAGGGGAGTCTTCCTGCGGCTGCGCGGGTTAAGGAGTTTCTCTACGTACTCCCTCAATGTCATCGCTCAAGAATGTCATCATCCTTGGTAAGAGGCTGTCCAGAACTGTCCTTCAGTACTCTGATGCTGTCCTTCTTTTCATCTCTGAGCCGGCGGATGGTCTACCAGAAAACTTTGTTTGCTGTATGGAAATTCCATTCCAACAGCTCACCGATCTTCTTCCAGGAATCAAAAACTTCGGTTTTCGCCACTGCTTTCGCTGCCGCCTTGAGTGCCTCGAGAAATCGTAACCGAGTAGAAAGTTCCTTGTTTCCAAGCCATTTCTTGAACGCTGCTTTATTCTCTCTAACTGCCAGTTGTACTCTCGTGTCAACCCGGAAGATCTTTTCTGACCTTCAGGCAGCAGGCCAACCTGTTGAAATCTGCAGCATTCGGTGGCGGCCTCGAGTATGCCGCTCTTAAAGAGCTGCCACTCGGTTTCCATATCTGTTGTCATCACCGGGATCTGTTCAAACCATCGTGCGATGTTGTTTGCAAATTTGGCTCTCGTGTCCACCAAAGAAAATGTTTTCCATTTGACTCTCTTACTTCTTCTGCCAGCAGACCTTCCTATTGTACTTTATTTCTTACAGCGCCGCTTACCAACAACAAGGTGAAGATCGGTTGATAGCTCTGCCCCTCTTTTAACGCGAACATTCATTACAGAGCGTCTTTAATCAGACGTTGCGATTATCGAATCGATCATCGACTTGTGTCCCAAGCTTCCGTGTATCAGGTATACTGATGCACTCTTCGATGCTCGAAGAAGGTGTTGATAATGGACAGTCCGTTGTTTGCACAAAACCGCAACAACTTCATGCTGTTATTGTTGAGGTCGCTAGGGCCATTCCACTTTTCAGCGTCAAATGCGCATTAAAATCGCCCGTTTGTATGAGGGACTCTGTATTCGGCACTTCGGACAGAGCACATTGCACTTCCTCATGTAAAGACTCATATTCTCACTTCAAATTGAGCGCATGGACCTATAGCAAGGTCAGCGCTATAGCATGTTGTAGCTCCAGTTGGAGGATTACGACCCTTCCGCTGATATGTTTCCATTCATTTATTCTATCGGCA